TCTCTCTCTCTCTCTCTCTCTCTCTCTCTCTCACACACACACACACACACACATACGCATGGGGAACTGCTTGACTCACCAGTCCCGGAGGAACGCGAGCGGATCTCCATGTGCCGTGGCTCCTAGAGACCACGTGGCTGATGAGCCGGAGAAGGGGCGGCCGCCACAGGCTGCTCAAGCGCCTAAGCAAAGGGAGAAGGCAACCCCTCGCCCCAAGCGCTCGGTTCGTTTCGCGGTTGACGACGGCAAAAAGGACGTCGTAAGAGTGAAGATGATGCTGACGAAGAAGGACGCAGCTCGGTTGCTGGCCATGCTCGCCGGCGAAGACGAGGGCGCACTGGAGCACATGCTCTGCGAGCTGGGAGGAGAGAAAGGGTGCAGTCGAAGCCCGGCCAGATCCGACAGGGACTGCTGGAGACCGGCGCTCGAGAGCATACCAGAGAACTGATGCTGGGGATGAGTTGTGAGGTCGATGGAAACATGCCACAGCGTGCGCTGTGAAGCTACAGTTCAATTTAGGTGTCTTCGCTGGACACGTTCGTCCTTTGTAATTAAAGGTAATCGATCAGAGGATATACATGTAGTTCGGTAGTTGTATGTAAACAGTATTAACTAATTGATTCACATTATCTCTGGAATTACTCCCTCTTTCGTGCGTATGCGCGCGAGACGAGAGCGAAACGGTCTGAACACTAGTGTTCCTCAATCTTGCTTGATGGCGATTACCTTTTAGGCTTCGTCCCAGTGTTCCTCTTTTGTCGATTTGATCTTTGCTCTAACACGAAGGGTATGTTGAGAGTATAGCTTGTCGACGGATGTGTAAGTTAAAGGTGGAGGTCTCTTCTTTCCCGAGTACTGATGGGAGTCCACCTTTGGAAGGTGGACTCTCTGCCTGAGGACTCGTTCAATAAACGCGTCGGTAGTCACTTCATCACGCTACTTCGTCGATGCTCGGTGCCAAATGACTGCAGCCTGTCCCACACTAGTGGCTCTGAATATTATTGTGTTTGGAGACAAAAAGTCCGCAAAGACGCTGTCAAACGCGCTCGGAGTGGACGAACTACTGAATCACGTATCAGTATGATTCTGTGATGACTGCAAAATCTAATCATCTATAGCACATGATCATGATGATGAAGAGGCGTAACTCTCACTCTCTCTCTCTCTCTCTCTCTCTCTCTGTGACTATTTCTTATGTCTCCGTGCGCGTCCGCCTGGCATGTTTATCGTGGAAAGATAAGAACCACGGCAAGGTGTCACCCTGACCCATCACCAACCTGTAAGGCTGCTATCGACGCATGACCCACCTACACATTTATTTAGCGAACCAGATGAGGCCGAGGACGGGACTGCTAGCTCTCTTAATTCAGTGGTTTTGAGGTAGAAGACAAGTTGGGAATTGGGAATGTACAGCACGCACGCCAACAGTTGGATCCGAATCGCGTTGGATGCAACTGCCAGGTCGCAGTGGCAGTGGACCATGATGCATGATGATGATCTGAACCCGAGGTTGTGACCCGGTCCCAGTCTTTGTTGCCAATGGGAGGGAGATATGAATGTTGGTAACATGACATGACAGCGATTATGTATGTACGTTGTGGGTTTAATGCTGCTTATCACACACGGCATCAGCACGTTGGTAGTAGAGATCAATGGACCACGTTGCTTGATTCTTTGGACAAACGTCCACCGAGTGAACCTCGTGAATTTAGGTCAACATACATTGATTTTGTAGACGCTGATGAATATACAGCGTTGCCAGTTTCAAACATATACAGAGTTCCAAACACAGCCATTATGTTTACGGACAATAAACATGAAGAAAACCATCTTTTGAAACATCATCATAATGGGCTTAATTCTTGCATGTAAGAGAGATTCGTAAACAAACAATGTGCATCATACTACTAATACACTCAGGCTGGCTGCATCATAAATAACAAAACACACTATTCTGCCGCTGAGTTATATAATTTTCGAGGTTCGGCGGCTTCTTCAGACTGCAAATATTGATGCTCTCAGCAACTGTTTCTGTTTTGAACAACCGCAAATATTGGTTGGTACCTCTCCACGGCAGCACTAGAATTCTTCTTCACCTCCCTGGCCTTCTACTTCACGAATTCCTCCGCGAGCTTCTTCAGCCTCCGCCCCTCGGCCTCAGCCATCCACTCCCCAAGCTTCTTCTCGGCAATTCACGTGGCGATCCAAGTTGTTGGTCTTCTTCTGGCCGGCCTTGGTGGCGGCGCCGCGAAGAAGAGAGCCGAACCCTCCCTTCCCACCGGGAAGGCGGAGGGATGGGAATTCGCCGTCGTGGGAGGCGGAGAGATGAGCGTCTCATCGGAGGGATCGCGCCTTAGGGATTCACCGGAGAGGGTGGGGGAGGGGATCTGGAGGCCAATGGGTTCTGCCATCGAGGAGCTCGACGACGATTTGGTAGGTAGGTAGGTAGGTAGGTCGCCATGGAAGGATCAAAGAATTTTTATTCGATTTGGAATTCTTGGATCAGCGAAGCCCTAATCGGAAAGAGGAGAGGCCGAGGAGCCAAACTGCGAGCGAGAAGCAGAGGAAGAAGAAGAGTCGAGTCATTCAGAGAAACAAAGGGCTCCAGCCTTTTTTATATAGCCACGGACAACCCCGGTGAATCACCCGTGGGACAATACCAGGGGTGACGTCATCTGTCACGGGACAACCCCTGCAGTTTCCCCCATGATCACTCGTATCGACCGACCGACGGACCGACCGACCGACCGAGTCAATTTTTGAACCGCCAGATTTTACTAGGGCGGAGGGAGGGGCGTTTGGACCCCAATCGCTCCGGATGCTTCTGATACACCTGCTGCCCGGCCCCTCCCTTTTTGCGTTCTTCATCCACCCCTCTCCCCACGGGCTAGTTTCCTATTCCTCTTGATGTCTCTCGCCCATCTACCTCGGTGCTTTCCTTTCTCTTTGACCCACCAACAATCACCGCACTCGTAATTCGTAATTCAATCATTCCATAAAACGAGCCAACACTCCTCAACATGCCACCCACCATATAATAATAGGTAGTATCTCACACTTGTATCCCGGGAATATCTTTCTTTGTTCGGTTATCACACGAACAACTTGTGACATTATAATAATAATGTGTATCTCGGCATTCCATCATTCGTCTGCACTTGCGAATACATGGGATATTGGGTTCACATCTTTTTCTCAGAATACAAGCAAGCAAGCAAGCAACATCCAGCTGACACAGATGTAGCCGCGTTCATTGCATAAATTTTCACTTTATATCGTATGGACATTAAATGCCACCAGCCATGCTTAGGATTGTTCGGTAGATGTTATTAAAAGTCTGTTACAACAATATCAAAAGTTTGAGGAACAACACAACATGCCACGACATCACAAGACCGACCGCTAATTAGCTTCGTATTTTGCAACCAACCACCAGGGCAGTAGCAAAAGTATCTAAAAGATTTATTTACACCGTAAGTGGTGAGCTGAGAAACGAGCTCAATTCCTTTTTCGCAAATGATGGCAAAACAAATGCAGCCTTATGCATCTGCACATACCCAAAGAGCAGTCATTGTCATGATATATATCATTGGTAACAAGATTTTTTTTTTTTAATTATGCATATAAAGAGAGTGCAAAGTAAAACTTTGACGAATACTATTGTAAAATAGGGAAACCAGAAAACAGCCATAGTTTTACAAGCAACCCAAACTCATGTTTAGTTCATGCCATGATTGCCACACCCTATTTTCATCAACCACTAGTAAATTTTTTACAAACATGTGATAGCAATATCCTGTGCTCACGACCCTTTTCCCCTTGTAAGAAAGTGGGAACAATTGTGTTTTTATGGCCTTATAAGCAGTTTTCTTCATCCATAGTGAGTCGCTGGGGGCTGCTACGCAAGGGAGATATCTCATCTGTAAAAAGGCAGGCAAAAAACCCGGTGTAGGAGAGGAGAGGAGAGGAAGACAAAGCAGGCCCCTTACTATGTGGAACCTTGCCCCTAAAATAATAAAAAAGCTCAAGGAGCATGCACTAAGGGTGGGATAGTGATTAATATATTATCTCAATGTCGCAGACAACACTATTTAATTTAAAGGTCGTCTTAAGCCAGTCTTGTCAAAAGTTCTAAGCGCTCAACCGCCCTATTGATTCCCTTGACAAAGTAAAGAGACCTGTTAAGGGATATTTAACCATGACTAAAGAGACTTATCTTTAATCCAAGCCATCTGAATCTCATTCCTAATTAGTAAGAGATTAATAACTAAAACATCATTGAGTGGTTCAAAAGGTATCATTTAGGATTAACTAAAAAATTGATAACTGCACCAAAGCAATAATATTTTATAAAATATAAGCTCCTAAAAGGAATAATCAATCCATAAAATATGATTATAATCATCAACCAAAAAGAGAGGAAGTTACAAGCAGACACGAAAGTACCTCTGAGTTATAGAATCTCAGCTCCCTCTTGCATTTAAGAGCCTCCTGTTTGTCAATTGGGTTTATTGGGTTCAAGAAATGGACAGGTGGGCCATTTGTCGAACACAACAAAAATCCAATCACGCCGCTACATAATGATTCTCATCAATAAATAATTCTAAACTGAAGATATTACGGTAACATGCTGTTTTCTCAGGCAAAAAAATAATAGTAATAACCTCAGTGGCTACAGCAGCCTTATAAGAGGAAAACAGATATTGGGAATATGTTCGCTAATAGTAGAACCTAACAGAAGCAAAGAGAGGCCATTAGAGCAACAACATATATACGTTGCTGCTGCAAAATCTAATAGAAGTAGAACAAGACAAAAATATGGCTAGACATCCAACAACTTGGTATCATTAGTGAAAAGTTACAGAATTGGCAAAAACACAGGTAAATTAAATGAAACTCGAATTTGGTAAAACTAGATATAAATTCTCCAGTGACAAATTGAAGCGCCATACAAATTTGTAAGAAAATATAATCCAAGAACAAACAAGTGGAAGAAACTCGATTAATTCATTCAGGGATGAATTTTAATTCTACCATGCAACTGGCAAAAACTTCTGGTAAACAAAGATAGGTCTGAGGTTAAAAAAATCCATCAATAACTAAAAGAGGTCAAACCAATTGAGATCTATCCGAACTTTGGCCTGGATACTATCTGAACTCTCTGCATCAAGAAGAAAATTACTGCACCATTTACCCCGTATTCCACACCACTAAGACACTCCAAATGAAAACTATACAGACGCTACATACAATGCCATCTAGTGACTGTACGACCAAAACCGATATTTTAGTCTATGCACTCTGCTTAAAGTAGGCTTCCCCTGCCATACCAGGATCTCTCTATCTAGCAGAATCTTGTGCTTTATCATACAATTACAAGTGTGAAAGCAGAGTTCACAACTTAAAACTCATGATTTACCATCAGTGGCCCCCAAAAGGCTTCACGAAAAATAAGAAAATGAATTTCAGGATAAAACAAGGGACAATAATATTTAAATACCTTGGGTACGTAGGAACACTTGCCCAGGCATAATGGACACTCTTAAAAATTTCACGACAAATTGAGAGCATATCCTGAATGAGATGTGTGTGAAGCCACATGCTTTCTGCTTGGTTACAAAGAACACCACCAGGCTTTAAGGCCCTTGCAATCATCTCAAAGAATGGTTTTTCAACAAGCTCT